CTCTTCGGTCAGTGTTGTTTGGCAGAGGAACAGCTGGACGGAGCAGCTGACGGCGGGCAGCTCGACCTGGGGTTCCCCCATAACCTGCTGGTATGTGAGTGCTGTGCCATGGATCTATGTTAAGCTTCTGATCCCTTAAGTGTGAATGTGAGATGAGTCGTCACTGCTGAACACAGAAAGAAGGTCTAAAACCATGGTTGGCTTTGCACGATCTCCTTATTCCTGTGTGGGGTTTCTCTGGGCTTCTAATCAGTTCAAAGACCTGATTTTAGGATAATCTGTGATTCTAAATTGGCTATAGTTATGTTAGACCTGTGATGGATAAGCCGTCCATCCAGGATGTATCCTAATAACAAGGTAAGCCCTAGACCTCTGAAATGAATATGTGGTTCAGAAAATTGGAAAACAAAGCAGAATTTTGCAGCTCAAACAGCACAAATTATTCACTAAATGACCTAAACTTCAAATTTCAGCCAGATCAGCGGATTAACTGATATTTTCCATTATATTTTAAGTTATATGTTCATATTATTTTGGTAAGAACTCATAAAAACTACAAATAATGAATGTGAATAAAAAAATAGTCATTTTAAAATCACTAAATATCCATATGGGTCTTAAAAATCCTAAACTTTTCGTGCTCTAAATGAGATACTTGTGGAGAAATCCCCTTTACAGCGAGCACCCAGCTTAAATCTAACATGCATGTTTTAGTATGGAGGGCCAAAACTTCAAAAATTAAATAACAAAACACATCATTACTACTAGAAGCTGTTTCAGCTTATTTCTGGTCATCTTCTTGTTCACCAATGTTGATTAAATCAATCAGAAGCTCAAATTAATTCAGTTATTTAATGTTCACACAGAGAGCAGGAATCTCTTAAAGTGACAGCTACCAATGACACACCTCAAAAATACATGTGATGACTGTCAGCCACTGCAATGACTCTACTGACCTCTTTGAAGTTGTCAAAGGCGGCGAGGATGATGTCATGACCTCCTCTCACCAAACACACGGC